TAATACTGAAGTGCCCAAAATGTTAGATTTATTATAGTCCGAGGAGTCATCGTGATGGAATCAAAAGCATAAAACATACCGCAACGCCGGGAAACAGACCAGCTTCAGTGACGCCCAGGAAGATGCGCGCTGTCAACAGTCCCGAGAAACTCTGTACAATGCCCATGAGAGTCATGACTACTCCCCATGCTACCATGATTGTGGGAAGCCATCGACTGGGTGTCAGCTTCTTGAGAAGCAAGTTGCTTGGGACTTCGAAGGCAGCATATGTGAAGAAGAAGGCGGTCAGGCACCAGTTGTATTGGTCTGCCGTCATTCCCAGGTCTTCCTGCAGGCCTTCGATTTTGGCGTTTCCGATGTTGCCCCCTATTCAGCGTTCGCCTATCTGTCAGCGGTTGGCTGGTCACGGAAGAAGGTACATAGAGGTGGGACGCACTGTCAAGAAAGGAGAGCAGGTACAGAACTGCTAGGGTAGGAATGAGTCGAAGATCCATCTGTTGCTCGCATGATTGTTAGCAATCAATCTTTGGTTCTTTTGCCTGATTACTTGGGGCAGCTCCAGCTCAGTTACCTTGCGCAAGATTTTCTTCTCGTCGAGATGGGCAAAAGACTCGGGTGAGGTGCCCTGGGCAGCAGCAAACACGTCCAAATCCACGGATCCCTTGGATACATGGTTCTGGGAGGCATCTTCCTCCTGCGCGACGGCAGGCTTTTCAATGGGGTCCATTATAGGTGTGGTGTTGATATCTGACAGGAGACAGGCTAATTAGATACAACAGTTGTAGAGCTGGGGTCATCGCACGGTGAAACGGTGATCGGGGATAAGATGGTGCGAACCAAGTACCTATTTAAACTCATATCTAGAGCAAGGGAAAGTCACCTCTGCAACACCCTCGACCAGGTCCCCGTCCCTTGTTCCACCCCTTGGGTTGGACAATCCCCTGTGTCCCCTCATCACCCCCTCATCATCAAGTAGCACAGCCGTGACCAGTGGCCAAAAAAGAATGAGATCATCATCAAAATTCCCCGTTACGACCTTACGGTGCCCACAAAAAGACAATGTTGCTACTGTGACTCGGCGTTGAAAAGTCGACTTTGTCGTTGGAGATGCTTTCCCGGTTTTGAGGGCAACCAATGAGAAGATGCGGGGATGCCGTCAGCGGCGTTGCTTATCCCCGTCGGCCCTATCCGTATGGGAATAGGGAACAAGATGTACTGGTAAACTGCCCATCACACGTTCCGCACTTGAATTTCCAATTCCGCAGCTTCTCATGCGTGCTTGACTGCTTGTCCTGCAAGTACTCAGTACTGTACGGTATCATTCGAGTGAGGTGGTCGCAAGTGTATTTGTTAGTGTATATATGGCAAATGCTCTACATGATATGATATTGAACCTCATCCTCTTAACTGAGCATTTCATATATACGAGCAATAATTTGACTCTCATCATGATCTATATAAATCTGTCATCCACAGTCAACGATATCTATTCCCTGCTCTTGCGGGGCTGTGATAATTATAACGTTGGTTCAACCTTGTTCACGCCTTCAAGTGCGAGTTACCAGTCCGCCTGGGGGTCTGAGATGTCGTCATATAATTGTCAGTGGAGGGGGACCTATCTCCCGGGCTAACAAAGAATAGAACAATTCGGAAGGAACGCTACTCCCTTTATGGTAATTGCGTCCTTGGCATGGACTTATACGAATCGAAAGCCACGTGCAAAGGATCAATACCGTCTTTGCCTTCTATTGGGAGTTTGGCCAATACTTGATGACTATGGTGTTTTAGAGAAATCCATGCAATACTTCTCTCGGTCTACTTGGTTTGATTCTACGTTGAGGACTTGAGATTTGGAAGTGCGAGCCAGTCGCACGGCAGCGTCTGAACATCAGCTTCCACTAGCAACACTGCTTCTGGGCGATGTCGTCCCGGATTTTCTTTCCAGCAGCGAAATGAAGCCGAAGTAAACGTCCGAGACCCGGAACGCGGCTGAGGTAGGTGTTGATTCTCTGGCTCACCGCCTAATGGAATGTGAGACCATGATTGCTCAAAGTTCGGATCATAGAAGGTTGAAACTCGCTGCAGATATTGTGGCTGGCTGACATGTGCCCATAAGAGGAGAATCTAACCGCTTTCTCTCATTCAAGACCAATCCCTCGGGTCAGCTTGACATGATTTGACGAACTCCAGGATCTAGACCTTGTCCGTCAGATTTGACAACTCAGACAAGAACTCGCACCAATAGGCGAATCAAGATAAAAAGATCTTAAACATGATTATGTGAGGGGCTCATGCCACGTTGTCGATGGTCAACTAATCACGCATCGGCCTCAACCGGGACTCTTCCTGTTCACTGTAGCCAGTCAACGGACATCCAATAGCAATTGCTTCTTGAACCCCGTAAAAGGACGGAACCCCCAGATTTTTAGACGGAAAGGTTGAGTCTTATCTGTCACCTCTTTGGGTTACAACCCATGTTTTAAAACTTTTCAGATCTGGATAAAAGATTCCAAATCGCCCGCCTTGGATTGCCATCCGTTCCCTCCCAACGCCGTTCCCACGCCGCCCTGAAGCTTGAAAAAAAAAAGAGAAAAAGGAGTGGGTTGTGTTTTGCCCCTTCCTTACAGATGCCCAAGGAGAAGAACCGATAAATATTAAGAGGCAGGCGTTTCCTCTGAATACCTCCAACCTGTCCTTCTCCAGCACATGCAACCATGATCGACATCCTCATCGTCGGTGCAGGCCCAAGCGGCCTGTGCATGGCCAAAACCTACCTCCAATACGACCAGACCAAGGATGTTGTCCTCGTGGAAGCACATGCGACAGTTGGCGGTGTCTGGGCAAAGGAGAAGCTTTATCCCACGCTCAAGACCAACAATCTCTTTTCGAGTATGGATTTTACCGATTTTCCCATGGACCAGGAACGTTTTGGGATCGCACCAGGACAACATGTTACCGGCGAAGCGATGCACGAATACTTGTCAGCTTATGCCGAGCACTTCAACCTGACCAGTCGTATACGGTTTCGAACAAAGGTCATCGAGGTGCAGCAAAGAGCGAGCGATGACCAAGACAGCCTTGATGGCTGGGACGTCAAAGTCGAAGATGCTGGCACAGGAGCCTGCACCACCATGTCGTGCAAGAGACTCATCATTGCGACGGGCGTCCTCAGTGTTCCCAGCATCCCCGACCTTCCTGGCGCAGATGAGTTTGCCGCCCCGCTCCTCCACTCCTCTGACCTCGGGCCAGAAGGCCCTGCAATCATGAAAAATCTGGACATCAAGACAATTGCCGTGATAGGGGGCTGCAAATCGGCCTACGATACAGTCTACTTGGCCGCAACGACCGGCCACAAGGTCGAGTGGATCATCCGCAAGTCTGGTCGTGGACCGACCTGGGTATTTCCAACCCATACGTATCTTGGTCCGTTTCTAACATGGAGGGAGAGGTTGATCACACGGCGCATATTCAGCTTCATGTCGCCCAGTATCTTTCCCGATTTCTCGGGATTTGGCGTCGTGCGGAACTTCTTGCACTCCAACCGTCTTGGACGCTTTATCAGAGACAAATTCTGGGGTGCTATTCATGCCGATACACTGAGAGACTGTCGTTATCAGACCAATGACGAGTTCAAGATCCTGGAGCCCGAGCAAGGGCCCTTTTGGTATGTCAACCAACATGCATAATCTGCCAGTGGGCTCTTATGCTGCCCGTGCTTTACTGACATGCTATTCCAATCATTGTCAGGTATGGAACTGCTTCTGGCACTCTCAACTATGAAAAGGATATCCTATCTTTTGTCAAGAGCGGCCAGGTGAAGATCCACCGACAAGACGTCTCCCATCTTTCGCCCGGGAAGGTCCATTTGGTGTCACCCTCCCAGGAAGAGGCGGATGTTCCCAGCCTCCTCCAAGTAACTGAAGTCGAAGTGGATGCGCTTGTTGCTGCAACGGGCTACACAGCAAAGCCCACTATCACCTTCTCCCCGTCCACGCTCCACTCCGATCTGGGGCTTCCAAGCACGCAGCTTAATGCCGAACAACAACACTTCTGGTCGCAGTTGGATTCACGAGCCGACCAGATCATTGGCCAGAGTTTTCCACAACTAGTTGCAGGTCCACCCGTCCCTCGGCCGAAGATGTCTCTCACAGAAAAGCCGCGGGCCAAACCCATCAACCTTGGTGCTGCGTCAGAAGCGAGCTACACCCCATGGCGGCTCTACCGGGGAATTGCACCTCCGGGTTTGACCAAAGTCTGTGATGCACAAGGCGACGCCGAGTCCTCTGGCCGGAGCCTCATTTTCATTGGCATGTTCAGCAACATTGCCAACACCATCCGCTTGGAGATCCAATGTCTCTGGGGGCTCGCCTACCTCGAGAACAAGCTACCCCATTTGCGAGACGACAACGCAAGCTCCACTCCGGGCATTTTCGAGGAGACGGCACTTTTCCAGAGATACACGCAACACAGAGCTCCTTATGGACATGGCCGGTTCTACCCAGACTTGGTCTTTGATCAGCTGCCCTATTGGGATATCCTCTTGCATGATTTGGGCTTGAAGACGAGAAGGAAGGGTGGCCGTTTAGGATTGCGCGAGTTGTTTGAGCCATATACTCAGGCCGATTATCAGGGTTTGGTGGACGAGTGGATGTCAAAGAAGAACGCTACAGTCTGAAAGACGCAATCTTGTCTTATCTACCAGGCGATCCGGGAGAAAAACCGCTACGCCAGGATGCATCCTCGAAGATGGTTGTCCTTTTGCTTTTGGGAATCCGTCTGCCGTAGAACATAGTCTTATTTAGATAAGTATTAGACATAAGTAAAGATAGACTTTGAAGAATGATTTCACTAACAACAAATTCCTGAATTGTCAGTGATTCATTACAGCGACTGACAGACAGGAGGAATGATTGAGATCAAGGTACAGATGTGGTCGGATAGGGCTGTGAAAGGTTACAATATAGGAGACACATCGGATGAAAGCACCAATAACAAATCGTGGTCGGATGGTGTAGTTGGTTATCACGTAAGCTTCACACGCTTAAGGTCTCCGGTTCGATCCCGGATTCGATCATTTCTTTTTCCCCTTTTTGCCTTGACATTTCGTTGTATTGCGCAATATCCAACATTGTGATGCTTTGTTTTTGATTTGTGGTTTTGGTTAGTGGTATGTTGTGGTGCGGGAAAGAAAAGGCTCGATTAGCTGCGATCTTTGACGGAGGAATCATCTGTTAGCTCGATTCGAATTAGGCAGTGGTTGCGAGATCCAGCACTAATTCAAGTTCCCAACCCCGCAGGCGGTGTTTGTTGTCGCTCGCCCCTGAGCAATGAGCGTTGCCCTGAGGGTTGCACTGGACGATGACCTGTCTCCAGCTGAAGATGAGATGGTCAGAGGGACCGAATCAGAAAATTCAGGGTATCTAGAAACTGCTTGATCTGGTCTAGCCACTCTTGGCGTTGGGAATATTGATCTTGGCAGGTACATGGGTCAGTTGCCCCTCATCCCACATGCAGCCTGCGAGATTCAAAAGTCCAACGGCTCCCTTTTGCTGTGAATGATGAGGCCAATGTGCCTTTCACGACTTGACATTACTTTGCTGGCCCAGTGGCTTGTAGTTCCAAGTTCATAATCATATTAAACACTACCTCCGGATTCACAGCTGAATCGCTCAGCCCATCATCCAACACCGACTAACCAACATCACAATGGAGAACGGTAATAATCATCCTCCCTACGGACACCATAACGTCGGTGGTTCGTATTATCCTCAACAGCAACCCCTTTATCCTCCCCAAGGAACTTACCCAATGCCCTCATCACCACCTCCGGGGTACCCTTCTCAGCAACCTCCTCCATCAGGACACAGTCCCCAAGGGTACTTCACAAATACAATTCAGCCTCCGCCGCCCGCAGGGGGATATGGACAACCCGGGATGCCACCCGCACAGCCGGCATCGTATACATCCCCTTACCAGCAACCTGGGTCACAGTACCAATGGCAACCCTCTCAGTCCCAAAACCAGCATGGGGGACAAGCATCGTACGGCGGGTATTTGCCACAGTCAACCGGAAGTTTCGAACCAAGTGCCCCTCAATATGCACAGCAGTTGAGCCCACCACAGACTCTTGGTTATCCGCCGCCTAGCCCCTCGGCGAGTAATGGATATAATCCTCAAAATCCCCCTCCACTGCCGCCGCGATCTCCGGCAGCTCAGATGTCGTTCGCCCCTCCGCCAGTCACAGCCATCTCATCCAAGAACACGGGCACTTTGGGTCGCCTAGGAGCTAGGGTTGCAGGAACCGTTCAGTCCAAGGTCAAGGATTATTTGGCCGCAAAGCAAGATAACATCCAATCAGCAAGCTTGGGCCCGAAGCCATCGGGAACAACTGCGGCTTTCATGCCATCATATGGACATGCTCAGCCTTCTCAACCTTGGCAAGCGAGGCCCAACGTTGGGGCATCAACCTATCTGGTCTCAGCAGTACCTCCCGTCTCTCATGTGCCGCCGCCCTCTGGTGAATATCAAACCGGACCAAGTCCGCATTCGTATCACATCGACCAGGCCACCTCTTCGACAACAAGCCCAAACGGGCATCCTTCCAAAGAGCCACCGTCAAATGTGTCAATGTGTGCTGCCACTTCACCATCAATGATTCATGCTACTGCTCCTCAAGCGCCAGCTCCCAGGCCTCTCACGGCCACACCATCCCCATCGCCGCAGGATTTTAGTACTTCTCCGAGTCATTCAGACCCAAAACCCAGTACTGTCCCTACTTCGGGTCCAACCGAGCTCTCCGTGGCACAACCAACCTTGACAACAGCCCTACCGCGACCAGATCAGCCGGACCAGGTTATTGAACAAGACTCACAGACCGTACACACGCCGAGTAACCCATCAATGACTTGGGGTTGGAATATGACTTTCAACCCAGCTTCTCAACCCCTGGGACAATTCGTTCCCCAGTTGAACTTGACACCAATGTTTACAGCACCCGATGGTCATCAAGCTGTCTCGGACCCAGTAGCGCAGACAACAGCACCAGCAACATCGACAGAAGTGTTGGATAGTCCTGGCCCGTCAAGACAACCGCCTCCGTCCGACGCGGGCACATCACAACAAAGAGTGCTGGCCGAATTATCTGCTGATCAGGCACCGCATATCCCGGAGAAGGTACCTTTTCAAGCAGTCTCGCAGTCGTTGGGGCCGTCCAGTGACCAAACCGGACAGACCGGTCCCAAGTCCGCTGGATTTCAACCATACCGTCCAACCAAAGGCTCGGATGGGAAGTCAAGCCCAGCAAAGCCGGCATCGCACATGGCACTAAGGCCCTTGAATACATACGAGAAGACCGTTAATCCTAATGGGAAGCCTAAACCCAAGCCTAAGGAATTTTCGCCTTATCGTGCGCCTAAGACTCTAAGCGAGGAGAACAGAGATCATAGCCAGAATTCAGGACTTGGAGGGCAATCAGCTGCTCCAAGCACAACTTCCGAAATCTATACAACCTCGTCTCCCTCTACAGCGCAATCGAGAACGCAGCCTTCTTTTCCATTAGTCTCTCACTCTCCTTCAAGCCAAGACACTCGAGTACCGACAAATGCATCACCGACGTCCGTAACTGCGCTTGGAGATCTCATCACGAACCATATTCAGAACCTGGCCATCTCCAGCGCCCAGACAGGTTCTCCAAGAGGGAGCGTTCCTCCGCGAAAACCTTCTTGTTCCAATTCTTCTGCCGCAACCCACAACACAGGCCCGGGCACACACAGATCATCGAGCAACGCCGGTGGAGAAAGTCTTCAATCTATCTACCACGATGAATACTGCCCCTACCCTATGCTCACTACCCCAATGCTTGCCCATGGCCGTTCTACTGCTTCCCCAGACTCTTCCAAACCTCAACCTGCCCGCTTCTGCTATGGGGCGGAGCCGGCCCATTATCCACGATCCTACTATCGCCATCCCCAAGCACTGTCCTTTCCCATCTGTACTTGGTGTTTCAATACCTACATCGCCCATACAAGTCAAGCCAGTGCCTTTCCCGAGTCTCTGGTCGTGCGTGCGGCGAGTGTTGTCTGTGGGTTCAACGTACCACGAATCACCAAGCTGCTCTGGCCTGCCGCAGTCAAATCTGGGCATCTGACCGACCTCGTCCAGTTCATGGAAAAGCGATACCCGACACTGCCGACTGCTTCAGCAGATCCGGACAATGCAAAGACGGCCGCCTCTAGCGATGCTGAGCTGACACTCATCAAGCCCTGCAAACGCCGCGGCCAGCACGTCTACTCTCACGAGGGATACAAATGGTACACAGCTTCTACACCAAGCCCGTCGGCTCAGGACTTGATGGTCTGCGAGGCCTGCTACGAGGACTTGGTCCTTGCGACGCCGGCTTTCGCACCCAAATTTACCGGACCGTTACCTCACCCTGAAACCGAAATCCTAGCATGCATGGTCTCGGCCCATCCGTACCTCGAGCGCGCTCTCTTGCGATATGGCGGTACCACTGCGGATTGGGAGGGCTTCATCCGGGCAGCGAACATGCGCCTCGAACTGACCCAGAACGAGGCGACCACATCGTGCAATGGCCTTCAACGCAGAGTCGCGTCCTGCCGGTGGTGGACTTTGAAAGGATACGAAAACATAATACCTTCACTACCGTCAGAGGCGGTCGAGTTTTCACTATTTTGTCGCACCCAAGCTAGCAAGCACGTTGTCCTGTGCGAGTCATGCTACCTGGACGCTGTAGTGGGCACGAGATTTGAGCAGATCTTTGGGATGGTTGCCGAACCTCCCCTCGAGTATATGCCCGCCTGGGACGATGAGCGATATAACCTCCAGCTGTGGTGCACGTACAGCTCGGGCCAGAACCACGCCATCGCGGAAGCCTTTATGGCGGCAAACATGAGGAAGTTGAGCCCCCAAAGCCTGTACACGATGCTGGAGGAGATAGCATCCAAGCCGAGATGCGGACAGGTGCCCAGCGGGATGCAGGACGGTAGCTTTTATAAATTCCCGGGCGCTGAAGGTGTTGACTTTGGCATCTGTGAAGGGCACTACGCTTCTACTATCAAGGGATTCGGGCTGGACCAGTTCTTTGGGGACTCCCCGGTGCAGGTTCCTGGTCAGGCGTTTTGCGCCTTCCATCCTGCCGTGGTGCGTGCGGACCAGTGGATCAATAAGATGAATGAGGCGATCGACACGGGTGACTTTAGCATCTACCAGGAGAATGTTTGCAAATTCGCCGGGATCCCGATTTGTCCTCGGCGTGACGCTGTTGAGAATAGACGTTGGTACGGCTGGTCCGACTGCGCCATCTGCCCAGACTGTTTCGAGCAGTTCGCCAGCGGGACCAAGCTAGCCGGGGATATGCCTTGGAAGAACGAGTTTGCCGAGTATCTGGTGATATGCTCCATGTACTCGCCGCGGCAGCGTGAAATGTATAACCGGGCCTGTGAGTCCGGGGACGTCGAGGGTCTTTTGGCAGCATGTCAAGAGAGGACCAAGATCTGGAACCGGACAGTGCCCAGGATGACCGTCTTGGCGGCGCAAAAGTCGATTGCCAACGGCCAGGCAATGTTGGCAGCTCAGCTGGCCCACAGCCATGCCACTTCCAACGCCATATCCTTTGGCGATGACGGGACAAGGTGGACCACCAGCAGCGGAAATACCTACCAGTCATATAACGGGGTGCTGGCCGAGAAGTACCGGAATGAGGCGGCAGCCTTGGATGCCAGGGTGCGAGGCCTGGATCCGACAAGCGAGAGCATTCATCTGGCCGTGTTGTGGGAGAGCGTGGAGTGAGCATCTCGGAGGGAATCCAGTCGTCATGTCATGCGTACCATTCAGGATGTACAGATGTTTAAGAGATATATATAATTAGAAAGAAGGACAAGGAAATGTATTTACAGCGGCAGAGACTAGAATATGTAGCCATGAATGAAAGTGATACGAGATAATTACCAGCAGCGCTGACAAGAGAGCGTTTGTCAAACGGGTCTCAATATCTCCGAGTAATTATATGATTCTGGGCAAACCCTAACCCCCAATCTGTCTCCAGTCGACCATGCA